CGCGTGCCCCGGGCCTCTCCCTGCCCGATCTCTCTCGGCACGCCCGTCGCTGCTGTGGCGTCCCGCGGGCCCACGACCCCCCGGGTGACGCCCCAGACGACCACCAGGCCCCACGTCCACGAAGAGGTCGCGGGGGGGGTGAGGCTTGGCTCCAGCCACCGCCACCATGACCGGTGTGGTGCTGCTGCTCTATCCTCACCCATCGCCCGCCACCGCGGCCGGGTCCCGGCGGCGGTCTACCCCCTCGCTGGCTACCGCCGCCACCGCGGCTGCCGCCGCCCGAGCGACGTTCCTCGGCGCCCTCTCTCGAACGCGCACGCCGCAGTTGCTGCTGGAGACGACACTGCTCGTTGGTGTGAAGCTCGGACTGGTGGTAGCGGCAAAATCCGCCGGGGTCGTCGTTGAACACGTCACTATTTTTCTTCTCTCCGTCACGATTTTGGCCGCCAGCTGCTGCCTGACCGCCGTCTTGACCCCAGGATGCCCCCCCACTGCCCCCGCCGCGCCGGCTCATGCCGGATGCGGCGAGAGCGAGCTCCACCTCGCGCCTCTCCCCCTTGCTCCTCTCGCGCTCCATCTCCACGTGGGCGTCCCTCACCACAGTCTCAAGGGTACGCAACGTCAGGACATCATGGGCAAGCAGTATTCCTTTTTGCACGGCATACAACGAAGAGGGAAGGCCACGAGCAATGTCTTTGTTGGCATCTGTTTCATCCTTAATCGTGCCTACAGATGCGAGACGCAGGCGAAGGGCCTCTGAGCGGGCAATGTAATCCTGTGGACTCTCGGACTCTTTCATCTCCAACTCCTTCCAGTCCTGCTCCAACCTCGACTTTTCTGACTGCTTTTTCTCCTGATAGAACTCGGTCACAATTTTCCAGCCCTTTTGGGGACTCTCACACGCCAGAATCAAGCTCTGAATCGGGGGATACATAACCTTGCTTATGAGGATACTCCACAGTTTGAAAGACTTGTCTACCACTTCATTTCCAAAAAGTCTCCGAAGGTCTCCTACATTCACACCCCTCTTCCCGACCTTGACCTCGACCTCCAGTTCCAACGCATCATGCACACCCTCCTCCTGAAAATATGAAATCATCTTACCACGAAAAATATCAAACATAATGTACAAATCCTGCTCCTTCTTTACACTACCAAGCCAAGGTTCGATTTCTGAGCCTGGATTGACACGTAACGTGCCTGAGCGGGCAAAGCCCTGTTGTTGAGCGATGGCCTCAGCTGTCGCCTTGGCCGCTTGCGCCACGATGTGTGCGACGCTGCTGGGGTCGTTGAATGTGGCTGGTGTACCCTGGCTGGAGGGTGATGGTTGGTTGCCAGTAGGTGGGACTGGGTTGCCGGTTGGAGTGGCTGGGTTGCCGGCTGGTGGTTGGGCAATGGTGACTTCACCCTCGTTGATCCTGTTGGCTTCGAGTTCGGCTTGCACTCGTTGCTGGACGATCTCCTCCACTTTTTGTTGTAGCTCTTCCCCGCTGAGGGCGGAGAGGTCGATGTCCTCCATGGTGTTTGGTGTTGTGGGAGTCTACCGATTGCGCGTGACTGCACAACCCCCGGATGGCTACGCCCGCGCGCAGATACCGTGATATCGCACTAGTGTGAAAGGTAAACTACGCGGGGTGCAGCAAGCACGTTCTGGACGTTACTTGGGGCACTGGGTAGTCGGCCGTGTTAGGCCGAGAGAGAGAGATTGAGAGAGAGTTGGAGAGAGAGTGGGAGAAGGAAACTTGATTGGAGAGAGACGGTGGTGGTGGTGGAGAGAGAGAGGAAGAAGTGAGCGCAGCACGCACGCAAGCTTCATCGCACCAACCACGCCAAAAGGGTTCCCGTGACCGCACCGATGGTACCCTGCAACACACGAAATTCCCAACACGTATCCCCCTGGGATCCTCACGACCAGATACTGCTGCGAGTATATCTAACATTATTCTACGCGTGGATGGCGGTGTTGCTGATGCCTTACGCGAGAAAAACACATTCCATGATCATTTTTGCCTCGTTTCATTGCATTGGTCGACACCTCCTTTGACAACTCCAGGAGGTGTTGTGCGGTTTCGCAAGGGATATGACATCACAAAAACGACGACGATAGAATGAATCCTTATCTTGGATGCAGTACAACAGTTCGTGGGCAGGACAGGTTGTTGGAGGCGTCATGGCATCTGTTGGGTCATCCTGCGGAACAATGTTTTGCGTGTGGCTCGGGGAAATGAAATGTTTGAAGATTCATTCTTTAGGGCATTTTAGCCCTACCCCGAGTACGTTTTTCCTTTGGCTCAGAAAGTTCCTCCTCTTTCATGAATTTGAGACTCTTGGAATCTTGGAATCTAGGTTCCGCCGAAGCGAGAGCCACTCCCTATGATCGAGCACCGTTCACCGCCCAAGACACAAAGTGACCCTACGAGCGAAGCGAGCCTGTGTGATCAAACACCGCTCAGTACCCGGGAAGCGCGAGTGTCTACGAGTGAAGCGAACCAACGCACGCCGTGACCGAAACCGAACACGGCCCGGATACGCCAGACGCGCCACCGCGCACGCTTGTGCCCACACACAATTTGAAGCCCAAACTCCAAATGAGTGCATACAAGCAAAGCGCACCAGCACACATGTGCTACCGTTGTAATGCACACGTCCTTGGTAGTCGTGTGAGGCCGCGGTGAGGAGCGCATTTCATTGTTTCAGACGCTAGTCGGAGTGAAAAACATGGGGTCGCAAACGAGTGTCGGAGGCAGGCACATGGTGATAGACGCAGAGCTAAGGTGACGAGAGATCGTAGGATCCCACGTGCGCAATCTATCGTCACTTTCACAGCAATTCCTCAATGGTTGAGGAAAAATCGTACATTTTGAGAAAATATATTCTTGGTCGGCACTTACATCATGACCTATTTAGTCTACAAGTATGTCTCTCTTTTTCGAACACAAACGAACAAGCCGTGCCATGCTGATGTCGGAGAGTAACTGTACACCGCCGCGCTCAGGCAGTGAAAGTGGAATGCCGGAGTTCGAACGCACGGATTCGACCCCCGTCGTCCAAAACGGTTTGTTCAAAGTGAAGGCGGTAGCGGGTCATTGTTGCATACTAGCCTCGATACGCGTAAGCTTTTTCAATTTCGAACGTGTCAATAACACCCCGGGTTTCCCTCCAGGGCACTCCTCAAAGGTGTCCCGTGGTTGCTACGTAATCCGTTCGGCAGTCGTGCTTTTGCTGCTGCTCTCCCTGATATTTGGGGGCGGTGCTCAAAGGTTTCGTACGAGCATGATATTTGTGGTTTTGATTGGGAAGACTGTTGGTGACGGCGGCTGCTGCAGTGTACATGTTTAGCGACGAGACGGGGCCCACGAGGTATTTTCCGGTGAAGGTGATGAAGGAACACTCGTACGCGAGAAAACCCAGGGATAAAACACCCCTTGTCAATAAACGCCCGCCGCCAAGCAGGCCTGTTTGCCTGCATCTTGAGTGAATACGAATAGATCGCGAGTAAACCAAGTGCGTGCATTTTGTTCAAGCTGAAACGGACGAGTTCGGGAACACATGGATGATGATGCTTGCTCTATTCCCTCATTCTTGGCCATCCACATGTGCCTTCCAGGGTTCAAGCCTCGAACCACGTGTCGCTGAAAACCGTGCCGTTTTCCATATCGAGAGAAGAGGTGGAGTTACACAATTGTGGTGCATACGTGAGTGTATTCCACTGCCGCATACACCCGACAACTACTGCAACAAATTTTGTTTTTGTACGTCTGAGAACTATGCAATGAGCAGCGCCAACATTTTCGAACGCGTCCTCTATGGGATACGCTTTAGCCGTTACAGCACTACACTATGCGCGTAGGCATGCATCAGTCTCTAGGTACCCTCGCGGTTGCGTCCATTTCTTGGCGGATGATAAGAATGAAATTTGTACCATGCCTGAAGAGAACCACGCCACCCTTTCGCACCATTCGAAAAACCTTCATGCGTAATGAGTATGTGGCGCGTCCCTTTTTCTCGTGCCTCGTGTATGTATTGTAGCAACAATGATTTATAGCTGGGTCGTGTACCGGTGTACCGTTCTCGGCCTGTGTGTTCAATTTCGGTCGACCTCACGTGTTGGGTGGGGGCGGGATATCTACAACATTTCCTTTGTCCAACATGTCGCGTGCGACATCTGGTTTTTCGCGACCCCTGCCTCGCGTAATTTCAATCGCAGCTGAGCTGAATATTCTCGGCCGTATTTGTTGTTTTTTTCATGTCAATGTGTAGTCTGGGTGTGTTCGGTATGGTAGCTTGCTGTACCGCGGAATGTCCGCGTCAGTTGGACCAGTACGGATGTTACGAGGCGTTGGGCAGCGACCGGGTCAATCGATTTTTCATGCGTGGATGGAAACAACAACAAAAACAACAATGGTTTTCGATGATAGCGTGAAACTGGTGTCGTCCCATCTTAGGGCTCGCTTGAAATTCGAGGTGTTTTGCCCCCCCCCAAAAAAAATCAACCTGGGGTTGGATGTGGCTAGCCACTCTTGCACGCTTAGATGCATGCGTAAGTACGCCACATAGATGTATTTCAAGGCCATCAACAACTTGGCGTCCTACAGGCGAAAATCACCCCTCCAAAAGGTACGTTCCATGAGGGAGTTTGCTCTTGCAACAAGATGAGGGTACTTCTTCAACCGCTAAAATAGACGGGAGCTGAACGTCAAATGGCACCGTTTCATGGGCGCCATTCAGCGTTCCATGTGTACATCTTGAGAGTTGCAGAGCAGGGGGACAAGTTCTGTACAGGGTCCAAAACAACACGCTGTCGATTATTCCTTTGCGCCAGTGTGTAGCCTGCCGGTATCGAAAGGGCGGCCAACATCTCTCTGTGAACAGTCACGCCACCCTTCCGCGACCCGAAATCAGAGGTAGAACCTGGGCATTCACTCACAAGAGGTTGCCTCCCGCGGGCACATACTCCCTCTCCCACCTCCACTCCACAACACCAAAACTGTTCCGCTTCTACATAAATTGTGACAAGGAGCTTGTTCCCCGAGTTTCCTGATATCCCAAAATCTTTACAAAATCTAACTCAAAAAGCAAAGGTTCTCGCTGCTGAAATATCGGCAGGGCTCTCTTCTTCGCTAGAAAAAAAAGCCGGAAAATACGCATCCATGCCCCCAACGCCGCTCGCCTCCGACCATGTCGCACTTCATTTTTCGACCAAGATCCGCACTCTATCTCTTCCGGTGTGCAGTAGCCAGCTGTCTCAGAACGTTTGTGCCATGCCCGTGTGAGCGCTTACGCCTTTTTTCTGCCCTCTACTATGTACATGGGGTCCGATCGCCCCGGGTTTGGCGAGATGTCGCGCGAGACCGGCGGGTCGAAGCCTCCCGCGTAGTGGAAGTACGATCCTATCGGAAAGGCAGCAACAAGGGGGAGAGGGGGGTAGAGACGGTTAAGAGAGGGGAAATACGATAGACCACTGCAACAGCTCCTGACAGTGACATCGGTGTGTGTAGTGCGTGAGGGATGCATGAGTCAACCTCAGAGTACATTTCATTCTAGTGGATTTACGATCCCATCGGAACGAGAGCGAGAAAAGGGAGGATGGGCAGAGTCGGTTTCTAGAGGGGAACACGAGAGCGCCCTTGGCAGGTACTATCGGGGGGTGTGGTGAGTGAGGGATAAATGAGTCAACCTCGAGAGTATCTCACTCTACACACGACACGGAACCGAGCGGTGCGCCGGCAACAACAACCAACGAGTACAACGACAACTGTACAACGACAAAAACAACAACAACAACAACAACAACAACAACAACTCACCGACGATGAAGATGTGCTCCATGTCGTTAGTCTGGTTCCAGATCTGGATCGCCTTCGTCGGGAAACATCTGCGTCCGTTCGGCGCGGGTTGCCGTTTCATTTGTTCGGGCGGGGTTTAGTGAAACTTGAAGCGTTGGGTAGTGCACGGTCCGGACTGTTTAGTGCTCTCAAAAGCCTCGAGAGAAGTAGGCGCAGATCACAAAATACAACCAGTGAAGCAGTGTCTCCTGTATTCCATTGACTCGCCTTTTCCCGGTGAAACCATGTTTCTTTGCGATCGCTCCGCTCTTTCGTCTCGTCAATGCTGACCGTAGTTTCGATCCAGGGGCCGCGCACAAGAACCCCTAACTCTACCCTCACGGAAAAGCCCCCCATCCCCGTCAGCGGCGTTTTTCTAAACAACAAGACACTTTCTTCCCTCGAGAGCTACAACGTCGCGGGCTGGAAAACATGGCGTTCGACCAAACAAACAACCTAGTTGGGAGGCAATGGCCGTGACGTGGTATCACCACTTGTCGGACACGGGCACGACTGGTGAACAGAACGAGTTTTGTCGTGGACTGATCGAGTGGTGAACGTGCAACATGTGTACAAACAAGGATTAGGCGAATACACGTGGGGAAAAAAAGACCACCCTTACGGTTACCTGTTGGACATGGACATGATGGCCTTGCCGCCTGGTCTCAGCACTCGTCGGATCTCGTTGAAGACCTCCAGCGGCTTGTTCAAGTAGTCCACCTTCACGTGTAAATGTCGTCGACCAAGTGGGAAATATATCACAATTGAGGGAAGAAACAGAATACCGGTGTGTGTACATAGGATACCGAAACATCGATACACTTGTCGTACCGCACCCAGCATCCCCCGCAACACTGTATGGGGCGGGATGCGCTCGTGGTAACTAAGCAAGTGTTCTTGTTTGGTGCTGAAACCAACCGCTAGCTGCTCCTCACCTATACGCCAGCCACAACGACAAACCGGGACGAACAAAAAACGACGCCAAAAGACAAAAAAAAAAACGAAGAACAGGAACGCGGAATGGTTCGAACGAATGCTTGCAACAGAACCACAGAGGACAGAAAGACAGACAGACAGACAGACAGACAGACAGACAGACAGACAGACAGACAGACAGACAGGCAGACAGACAGACAGATTAAACAGAAAAAATCACAAGGGCATCTCACCGACACGACGCACGTGACGACGTCGAAGGAGTTGTCTTCAAAGGGAAACTTCGCGTCAACGTTAAGGTCCTTAACCTTGTACTCGTCCAGCTGCACGTTCTTGCTCAGCTCGAACTCGTTCATCCCCAGCCTTATTTTCGACGTTACGGCGTCGTACGGACGAGAAGGAAGTGAGCGCTGGCCGGTTGGGCCATGTTCGGGGGTTCCCTCGAGGTGATACGGCGGTTTTTCTTTCGAGATTGGGCGGGTGTGGTGCGCGTCAAGAGTTCGCACGGTCAAGAGCAGTCTAGTGCTCGGAGAGCCGTGGAAGTGAGGCAAATGGTTGTTCAATATTTCGCAGAGGCAAAAGGGAAAAAAATTGGGTCCGCGCCGAAAAGCAGAGTTGAGGGTCCCCCGGCCACACATGCAGGCATGTGCAAGGTGCAAGCACTCAACAGTGTCGAAAATCATCCGAAAAGTCAAGAGGAGAAACAGTGACCTCGACTACGAAGTAGTACTGGAAGCCCGAATGGGGACGCTTTGGGGAAAAGGCTCTTAAACGTTTGTTTACCGCACCGCTGTCGTCACTATGCTCCGCTGTGTGAAACGCCCGTGGAAAACCTTGGACTGCCATGCTTGAGTGAGGTGGTACGTTTCGTGATGTATTGGAGTGTGATGTCAGTGTGCCTCTTCTCGGCCTCTGACTTGCTGTAAAGGTGTCTCCCAAGCCGCGTGTCCCCTTCATGTACGTTTGAGTCTGCATAGATAGCCTGTGCATAGAACCGGATAAATTTGCGGCCTTGGCTTCAGTATATGGAAAGTGTCCCCAGCGTATTTGGGGACACGTTTACGTCAAAGCCTTGTCAGTCTTCGTCCCTCGGGTCTGTATAGCCTCTCCCAAGGAGCGGATACGATTATCGTCTGGACCTACAACCTGTAGCTAACTGGCATCTTTAAAGGGGTAAGCAACGTATACTCATTTAGGGGATGCTAGAACAATCGCACCCCACCCTGTGCGCGTCTCGAAAATCGTCCGACGTGCCACGTCGGAAGCGGAGAAACGATAAACTCGACTATTCAAGCAATCCTACAGAGTACAGAGCAATCCAGACCCACCCGGTGCGCTTGCCGTGCTCCCAGTCCTTCGGGAAATGGCTCACCCACGACGAGCAGATGTCCAGCACGTCCGCCCCCTTGGGCAACGCCTTGGCGTAGTACTTCGTCAACGCCTTCACCGCGGAATCGTCTTGAAAAACAGGCGTTCAATACCAACAATGGTTCACAGCAGCATCAGTACAGAGTCGCAGAGAACAAATATTCTAGGGGGTTACATATGCATATGCCAGAAAGATAACGACCACAAAACAAGATGTTTCCTTCCTCCCTCCCAATAACCATGCTGGCTCGGCGGGGACTCTGCACACATAGAACAAAAAAAACGAACCAAGCCATGAAAAATTAACATTTACAACAGGGAGCTACTCTACACTCCTTCCAAGCAGGAAAGAGAGAACACTGGCTGTACAACAGAGCCTCTCTGTGCTGTAGCTTATTTTCCACAGACAACAAAACTGACGCCATGTGCTTCAACAACATCGCTGGGTTGATTTACCGCATGTACAGCAGGGACAAACAAAGGTCAAAAAAAAAAACTGACCGATGTGCGTCGACAACATCGCTGCCTGATTCATAGCATACCGCAGAAAAAAACGAAAGGAAAGGAAAAAAAAATGCTGACCGTCAACATGTCTGGTTTGACGCATTCCAAAAGCAGAAAAAAACAAAACAACACAGGGAAAGATGCTTACCGATGTGGTAGACGAGCCGCGGCTGCGAGTAGAAATCCCCGTCGCTGGACTCGTCCATGCGGCTGAAGTCGTCCTCATAGAAGGGCCACTTCTCTGGCCACTTGGGTGCCTTCAGCACCTCCTCCGCGGACACCCCTCTACGAAATCGCGTGGCACAAGGGCAAAAACAAAAAAGAGTTGGGATGATGTTGGCGGAGAAAGGTGGTGTGGGAGTCGAGCCCCGAACAACACGTTGCTGTTTGATGGGTCGCACAGGGCAAAGTTGTCAGCTGTGGTGACGACTACTGCTTTGGTCCAGGGGATTGCTGCTTTAACCTGACAGTGTGTGTGCACGCCCTCCTTGCGGTCGTGCCTGTCATATTTCGTGACTGAATCCCGCCCCCGCGCTTGCTTACCTCTTGGTGAAACTATGCAAAGGATTATAATACAAACGCTGAGGAGACGGTATCGTTTGCCCCCCCCCCGTGTGCGTTCACCGAAGCATTTTCTTAGTAGCCCACGCACACCATCGGCTGTCCTCCGCAACAGTTTTTGTGCAATGTCGATGGGGGGAAGGAATCGCAAGGAAGTAGAGGGCGTTCAAACTGTCTGATGTTGCGTCCAAGGTGACTGCATGCATGTGTTCGGCGTGTTTGGCATGGTCCATGGTTTTTTCAGGAAGTGAAGCGTCCCCACCAGTCTACGGTAGGTCAGGCATGACGTGTTTCAGGCGTGGCATGTTGCCGAGGGGAAGGGAGGAAGCGAAGGATGCCGACAACACCGCCTGTAGTTCGACAAAGGACGAGGTAGTGTGGGGCGGAATCTCGGTGAGGGAGAACGGAAGAGATTCCGCCATATCTATGCATACCACTACTGCTTCAGGTAAGAATCAGCGTGGAAGGGTTTAACACCGGATTTTCCAGGCGAGAACCCGCCTTCCGATCTTGCCAGGGGTGTTTTTCCGTGGAGAGGAGCGTGTGGCGGAAGTGTCAGAGGGGGAGATGTTAGGTATGGGGTTATCCCCTTGAGTAGACCAAAGTAGTCAGCGCTGACGACATTTTGCGTGTTCTTGTGTGATGTTGGGTAAACCGGGTAGGCCGAAGCTTGCAGGCTTGTGGAGAAAGGCAGCTCGGCCAGTGAGGGCCGAGGTGGGAAAGTCTTGTATTAGCGGGAAGAGGAAACATCAGTTAGCACTCGTGTCCGAGGAATCGAGGAGAGCATCACCACTCCTATCCGTCACGCAATTCAGATCACTCATCGAATCTCCGAAGAAACCAAGTAGAAACTCCCTGTTCCCCCGCAATCTACCAACTGCAATCTCCGAAGGTTATGTCCCATGTTCAACCATCTAACATGTGACATACTTCTGCTATGCAGCCCCTCGAACAGTGGAGAATAACAAGCGAGAGGCATGGGACACACGCGACATGTACTAGGAGCATGCGGTGCTCTGGGCTGCGCTCATGCATTTACATACGCAGCGCACACAGTTGTTTTACGGAGGGAAAAAACGCGCAAAAGGTGGTCGTAGTTCAGATTGCGGGCTGCCGTGTCGGGAGTGTACCACTGAAACTACTGTAGACTACACGTACGATTATACACATTGGTAACGGGAGCATGGGATTGGGCAGCAGCTAATGCAATGGCTTATTTACGACGCAATTGGCGGGTTGATCACAGAATAAAATTAAGGGTGGCGTGGGTTTGTTATGACAGTTCCAAGACTTCGTGGACGGCTATCTACAGCACAACTATAATAGTACGCCGGATACCTCAAGCAGTATTGCAGCATGTACAGCAGTGGCGGGGTGCGGTTGCACAAAGGTGAGAGCCGTCAACTTCGGCAGGACCTCCTGACTAGGCTTTTTGGATGAAGCACTGCGGTCGAGTTGGGCGTAACGCACTTCAGGACGCAATGGAACCTACCAGTGTGGCGGCTTTCGGCATTACGTAAACCAGCGTATGCATAGAGAGATCAAGGGCTGCAGCCGCGCACAGCAGCGAGCACAAGCAGCGAGCACAACGGGTCGTGTCACAAAGTGGGGGGGGGTAGTCAGAGGAGGAAACTGGAAACACACCAGAGGATTCAAACTACTGGGTGCTAGGTGTGTGCCCATTCCCCACCTACGTACACACCACACACCACAGCAGTAGAGTCAATGATACACTCCACTTTATCCTCAACGTACTGAGGAGTAGGCAAAAAAATTGCGCTGGCGACCTTCGTGCTTACCCTGAGGCGAACAGCGCAGTAGATCCAGCAGGCCGAGTTGCACTGACGAAATTCCTGCTACTTCTGGCTCCCATCCCGCCGTCAACGCCGACAATGCTTGACAGGTTCGGCGAGAAACCCAACGCGTTCCTAGCGAGGAGGACTACGAAGGTAGAGCGACGCATGGTAGAGAGAGTGCGAGCGAGAGAAAGCAGCGCAAACCCACCAGCTGCCAGACGCACGTAGAGCACTTGGGCTTCGCCGGCGGGGGCTCCGAGAAATGCGATGGGTGCATCGTTCTTTCGGAGGGGACTAGCGGCCGAAACGAAACCTACAGCGCCGCATCGTCTCCGCTCTCCCGCTTCTCGCTCTCTCGCTCTCTCGCTCTCCCGTCATTTATTTCGCTGTCTTGATCCCTACACTCACTCGAACGGAACGTTGTGTTATTAGATGCACTGCTGTGGCTGGTTATTATCGTGCGCGCATGCATCCCATGATGTGAGATCTTAAAAGAAGATGTTGTATCTTGTAGGAAACTGACACAACAACGGTTACGATTAAGGAATAATAAATAAAATAAAACGGTTATGATGTCCCGGCACCAGACGGGAAAATTCATCCTAGAGCGGTGCGCGCCCCCCTCACACCCGCCCGCGCCAAGGGCATACCTGACCAAATAATCGAGACCTGCACGCAAATCCACCAGCTGCATGAAACCCGTAGTTCAACAGAGCTTGCATTGAGCTCTAGAAGGAAAGGAAAATTCCGAACGCGTGTGAAAGTCGACTCTCAACACAACACAATCCGGTTTCCAGCCGTTTTCCTTTTCCACTCACCACTGAAAATACTTGAGCGCATCCCTTTTCGACTGTGGTTATATCTCGAACGGGTAGTCTTTCTGCGTTTTTGTGCTTATTTTCTAAAAATGTATTGTCGAAATGCTCACGCGCTGCTAACCCTAACCCTAACCCTAACCCTTATTGTGTTGGTTCGTTGATGTTCGTCGTTCGTGTTTACCCGCCTCTACTCAGCATCAATCATGGTGCCAACCACCCAAAGGGATGCAGAAAGCACCACGAACAAGGATTGCGGGAATATAGTTTTGTTGTTGCCATTTGCTCACAGACACTCACTCGTGGGTTGTCAATGGTACACCACGGATGGATGTCGGTGATGAGAAGCATGCTGGGCGTTTGTAGTTTGCTGCTCAACATCATGTTTGCGGAAGTCGACCCTGACTAGGCCATTTTTCTAAACCATGCTTTGTACAAGTATTGGCATATTTTTCGTCGGAGTGAACCTGAAACCCCTGTAGAGTATTATTTAGTTTCCTCCATAAAAAAAAACGATTGGCCGTCTGTTGTTTTTGTTGTTCTAAACCCGCACCGTTCAGCCTATTTCAGCAATCGAAACATTCACAAATAAAATGGAAAGGGTCTTCAGGAAAATGGGGGCCTAAGCCCTATCAATACGCGCCACCAAAGAACTTGCAATAACTTCGGAGAGTACTTGGTTCAAAATGGAGTACTTGGACCGAACCCATGACAAAAAGGTGTAAGTCCTCTGCTGGTTTTTCTCAATTAGGAATAAATAGGCCGCGACGGTTGCCCAAAAACAGAGCTTCTTGAAGCGGCGGCGCGTTTAGGACAGGAGCAGGATGATAGTCATTCCATTCCTTGTTGCTGGGACCATCTCGAGATGATCAAACAAGCATGTGCGCACGGCGAAGGATAGCGCGCGACAAAAAGTTGAAGCGGTCAACCGCAAGATGCTTAAAACATACATACCTGGTACACGCACAGACACTCGTAAAATATGTTAATGCAGGAAGGACTCTAGACTTTTTACATGGCTCGGGAACGCTATCAAACCCCACGCCCTCTCTACAACGACCAATTAATAGAGGTCGCACATCTTGACCGTGCTTTCCATACAGCGGTGGTCCTGTCCATGTACAAGGACACAGCCGTCGCGCGTTGACCAACCAACGCAGCCAATCCCCGACAAAAAAAAAAAAAAAGAAGGAAAAAATCAGACCAAAATGACAATAAGGTCTAATATTCAACGCCATATCCGTCTCGTTTCAAATCTACCGCAAACAATAGCTACAGGAAGCAGCCTTTTTGCATTCCAAAAAAATTTCGGCGTATTCGGGCAGGGCGCAAGAACCAGCTCACGCGGCGACAAGGGTTCCGCCGGTGCAGTGCACATCAACACCAAGGAACACGGCTCAGGAGACCACACGTTCATCGCAAACTACAACCATGGTACACCCGATAGACGATCTCAAGACAGCAACAACAACCCCCCGCGCGCGCATTTCGTGCGTTCAAAACGGAGCTCGATCATAACTCTCCCGCAAGCAAATACGACATGTGTCGACCTTCGAACCAACAGCGAAAGTAAGTGCCTTCAAAGGCGAAATAAAACCGCCGGCAGGACCAACAACGTCCGCAGGTCAACTTGATGGGATCAACTGAGTCCTAACGTCGAGTGGAGCGACTAACGTAAAACCGAAGTGAACTTTCGGTGGGCTCTTCATTTCAACAAGCACGTGGGCGGACTCCTCTGGACTCCTTCAACACACAGCACTTCGAAAGACACGGTTGGTACAAAGGAACTCTTCTTACGCTTCTCTGTCTTCGTACTCCGCCTCCAGTACTGTAGCATCACCAGAGTCAAACCCGCCCGGTCTCACACGTTATTGGTCATTCGACTGACCGGTTGGATATTGATACACCAGATGATGCGGGTGGGGACACGTTGCGAAAAACAGCCGCCCTGGTGATCCTTGTTTCGCGGCGAGCACAATCCAGATCATTTAGGGCAGTCACAAGAAAATGCCGAGAAAAAAAAGTTGCAAATCACGTCCCAAGTGTGTGAACACATTGCGCACGAAAAAGGGCCAAGTAAGCAAACATGAGCGTTCAAAGCCAGTGTCGGCATGTCAGATACTCTCTCAACGCTCCAAGTCTCAAGCAGAGGCCACCACTTGAACGACCACTTCGACGAAAGGGCCGACACACGATAAATAAAAAAGAGGAACAGGAGGATTAACGTCGCAGAAACAACAACGCGTGCACCCTGCTCGCAAATGCCGTGCACAGGCCAAAGCACTTCGGTTCGGTGCAGAGGAAACGATTATCCGAGCAGCTGTGAGAACACTGGACGACTCTGACAAGAAGCAAACTTCACACGAGCGCAAGACAGCTAAAGAGTCAACCAACCTGTCGATTTGCTCGGTGGGCAGCTGTTGGAAGAGCTCGAACATCTACCGGCGACACAATAACAAACACAAAAACAGCGCTACAACGCCGACGTGTCCCGACCCACCGATAGAAGCAGCAGTCTGCTCCCGTCCCAAAAGAAACCCAGCTGTTCGGGAAAACCATCGCAGGCGTTCTCCCTCCCCCTTTTCGTTTTTCCAACCAACCAACCAACCAACCAACCGACCGGTTAGTTGAAGATACCGCCCACCACCCCGACTCCGATCGCCTCCCACTCCTTCCGCGCTTGCTGGACCCTCGCCTCCCTCGCCGCCGCCCGCGCGTCCTCCGGCGGGTATCGCTCATCCTCTACCACGTTCGCTCCCGCGGCCCCCGCTGCCCCCGCCGCCCCCTTCCCCTTCTTGCTCGACAGCGGCGTCGGCGGCGCCTTGCCCAGCAGCGCCTCCGTTCTGCTCTGCCCTGCCTTGATGGCGGCCTCCGCCTCCTGGACCGACACGGCGAGCGAGGCCGTCAGCTCGGGGATCTCCTGCAGGACGGACTTGAGCGGCCCGGGCAGCTCCGCCATCTTCCCGATAAGGGCCGAGACCTTGGGCTCCACGACCCCTGTCTCCAGGCCCTGGAAGATACCACCCCCCCTGCCGCCGCCGCCGCCGTTCTCGAGATAGTCGTCATCGCTGCCGCCACCGCCGTTGCTGGCGGCATCGTCGATCCGGAGCGGCAGAGGCCCACCCGTCTCGCTCTCCCTGCGCGCGTGCGCGGTGCTGGCCTCCAGGACGGCGCAGGCGCGGTCGTCGGCCGCCTCGGAGACGCGCAGGGCGTCCCTGCAGGTGTCCGCCGACAGGCGCGCGACGCGCGCGCGCGTGGCGTAGAGCCTGCTCCTCGCGGCCCTGAGGTCGTGGCTGAACTGGAAGATCTCCCCGACGAGCTCGTCCTCCTCCCGGGACTCGCGGGCGTCCTGCACCTCGCAGAGGTCCCGCACTTTGTCGGCGACGGCCGCCTGAAAGGCCCGGAGGTAGGCCGTGGTCGCCGCGTCTTGTGCTGGCGCCACGACGGCGACGCCGGCGCTGCTTCCGCTCTTCTTCCCGGCCAGGCTCTTCTTTGTCGTCTCGTCCACCACGGTGCTGACCCTGTACCTCATCTCCTTCAGCCCCTGCTGGGTGGCCCGAACCAACGGCTGCTCCGTCACGGCAGCAGCAGCGGCATTCGGGGCAGCAGCAGCAGCAGCAGCAGCCGGACCGGTGGGAGAATTTACGGGAGGAGAAGCATCCAGGGCTTTCCGTTTTCTCGACGACGACATCAACACCTTGTCCCTCGTGGGATAGGAGCTTCCCCCTTCTGTTGGTGAGCGAGAGGCAGCTGTTGGAGCGTTGCAGGTGCTGTGCGCACTGCCAGGTTGTACGGAGAGGCGGGGTGGCTCCGCGTTATCGAATCCCAACCGCCACATTGCACTTTGCGTGTCCCCTTTTCAAATCGAGCACCGGACGCAACCAACGTCGCAGCCAGCAGCCAAACTCACTACGGCGTTGCGGCGGCGCGGTGCTCTCTTTCTCTCTCTTGCACTCGCGTGCATCCGTCACGCCACAGGCCAGTGCTGCGGTCTCGGTCCAGATTCGTCTCTTGGACCATAATAAGATTCCAAAGCAACCTCGAGAACTGCAACTGCCAACGCCAACGCACCCTCTTTCACAGCTATCGAAACGCAGCACGGCAACAACCAACGCGAGAGCTGTTGTGTCTAGGTGTGCGGGGAGGGACAGAGAGAGAGGTATAGATTATCGTCCGGACGGGCTGCTGCTGTGGCTGGCATGTCTCGACAGCAAGCCGGCAGCAGCGAGCAAGAGCAATCCAGCAGCCATGGTCAACCTAGGCCGAGCTCGTCGGCGGCGGACGATGCCGGAAATGCTGCCGGCAGCAGTAGTAGCAGCAGCAGCAGCAGAGGGAGGAGGTCCTCGTTTCAGGACCGCCTTTCCTCCTCTCACGGGGGCGCCGGAAGCAAGGTGAGAGAGATTCGATTTGCGCCCGTACATACGTCGTCTTGATTTGCCAAGCAGAACAGCAATGGCGACGTATTTGAGTGAGGGACACAGCGGCCCCACTACAATTTCATTATTTCAACTCGACTTTTTTCAAACTTGAAACACGACGAATTTGCGTTTGTTCGGCAATGTCGCGGAGCTCCTTCGCCTCGTGATACATAAGTGGCCACCCACCTCGGTGTGACTTATCGGGCTTACAGCAGTGGTGTGAATGCCATCGCCTGGTTGCTGGCTGCGATCCTGAATGGTGGGTCGCGAGAGAAAGGCCGCGATGTCGTTGTTGAAACGACGCGTAGAGAACTGGCGCACCTCCCTCCACCTGGTGCGTGCATCCTTACCGGATTTTTACCAATCCGCACGATACGGCCGTCGTGTACAGCAGTCTATTGTAGACTTTGGCATGCTATGTGCATCCGTCACATGCACACCGGTAGATATTTCCATTTGCAATGCATGGGGGGGGGGCTTTGCGGCTCGTGCTCGATAGCAACCGCCTGCTGCAACATGACAGACCTTTCAGATGGTGAGTAAGTACCTGCAGACAAATGGAATTTCGAACCGGCAAAAAGTCATGCAATGTTCGTACAATAGCGGCAGCAGCGCCCGACACAAGGGCAGACTACATGTAGCTCCCGGGTCCAACACGACTGGTGACGCTACCCGACGGCTGGTGACGCTACCCGAAGAGAGTCTCACCGATGTATCCACCCCGACGGCGTTTGTCTAGAGGAAGGGAGAGACAGACAGACAGACGGAGAGAATAGGCGTGGGGACCGAAGATACCAAAGGCGTCGGGATCGAAGATACCAAACTACTCCTTGCTTCCTTGTTGGTGCAGGTTTCGCCCTCCTTGTTGGTGTACGTAGGTGTCACCGGGTCCGGAGCAAGCGTAGGGTAAACAGCAGTACGTAGGTTGCGTTCCCAATACTTGAGGGCTGCGGGATCGATCAATCGCAGGAGGTTCGACCGCAAAGCCGAGAGTCGAGCACAACCTGCTCTTCCGAATGTCTCATCGAACAGACTCTACCAGTCAACGTTGTGCAGTCCTCACCGTGCTGCTAGTTTTTGTGCGTGTAACGTGCAACGAGCGCCTCTATCTTGGCACGCCGTGCGAAAACGCGAACGTGCAAACACATGTACCTCTTGCGCTCGGCACGAAACGTTTGAGCTGCTTGGATGCCTCGATACTGCGTCGAACTGGTGGGGCACGTTTCACGCAATCTTTTGTGGTAGTTGAAGGAGCCACCCCCCTCCCTCGCACTAGCTAAACACACATGCGCCTCCGCGAGCAGCAGTGAGAGTGGGTCGGGTACTCGGGAGTGGGGGGGGGGGTTCGACCAACAAACGTCTTGGCTCAGATCGCTTGGAATGGGAAACAGAGAGTCATCATAAATTTTGGAGTATGGTTCCTTCCTTCTCTCCGTCTGTCTGTTTGTTTGCCTTCCTGCCTGCCTCTCTCTCTCTCTCTCTCTCTCTCTCTCTCTCTCTCAATCTCTCAATCTCATAGTAGTTATGATTCATGGATCCACTCGTTTTTGCCCATTGTCCTTTCTCAAAGGTGGTGACCATGAGGGGTGTTTTCGAGAAGCTGTTGGAGGTGAGCCAGGACGAGGAGATACCGGACGGCCTCGCGGAAACGGCCGAAGACCTGGTTTCGGCTAGCGTCATGAACCACCCGGTGCGTGCGTCGATGGATCCCGAAAACGGTACAGCAGTATCTCATCTCGCAGCTCGCTCTCAGGAGAAGCCTAGGAACAACGTTCGATACGAGTCTCTTCGGAGCCCTCCGATGTCTTCGGGGCGTCACCTGGAAGGAAGTGTTTTTTAGTCGCCAGGGCCTCGTTGAAGATTCGGTTATCGCCTCATACCAGCACGCCGTAGACAACATGCGTGTCCATCAGGAATGGACATCGAAACGATGTTCTTGTATTGCGTGCACAAATGCGAGCTATGTATGCACATGATGTGGTGTGCTTCTTCACTCAAGAGCTCCAGTAGTATTAGGTTCCCAAGCTTGATGCCTTCGTATCGTATGCATCATGGCTGTGTTTCCTCCGCCAGATCTCTAGTAGCCAAGCTGTGTCGCTACTGTACCATATGTACCATATGTAAGTGTCGGTGACGGAGGTGGCCCTCAAGATAGGACAAGAAGCTTTAGCAAGCTTTGTCGTTTGATTGTTGGAGGTTGTGCAATTTTCGGTTGTCCATTGCAACTTACCGGTACGTTTAGGAATCCTCCCCGCTCTTTTGTGTTCACGAGCAATACAGTACGGAAGGTGTCCGCCAAGCTTAAGGCATTGTGATTCGACACAGCTTGTAACCACCACCTACACTCACGATCACTGCTGTAAATCACCCGCCCCCCTTTGTCCTGCCTTAGCCCCCAAACGCCCCCGCTCTTGCCCATCTACGTGCCTGAGTGTGTATCATGCTTTCATGTGCATTCCGCCCCGACTCTCTCTCTCTCTCTCTCTCTCTCTCTCTCTCTCTCTCTCTCACTCTCACTCCCTCTCCCTCTCCCTCTCTCTCTCTTGTGTGTCATCAGGACTCCGACTACCGCCTGCTGGTGGCCTGCTGCCTGGTGGAAGTGCTCCGAATCTTCGCCCCCGACGCGCCTTACACCGACGACCAAGTGCTGGCCACGCTCTCCCTCATCATCACGCAGCTACGGGGGCTGGGCACGGCGGCCACCAAGCCTCGCGAGGAGCGCACGGTGAGATAGCCGTTGTAGCTCTGCCGCCCTAGGGTTGCGCAAGGAAGGCGGGGGGAGTACTGACATGTTTTGCATACCTTGGTTGTTTGACCATTGACCGCAGGGGGGGGGGTACTCATGCCTTGGTTGTTTGATCATTGACGGCAGGGGGGGTGAGAGGGGGGGATACTCATATGGTTTTCATTCCTTAGTTCTTCGACGTTTGACCGACAGGACAGGAGTGTTTGTGCAGGATGGGTGGGCGGGGTACTCATGTTTTGCATGCCGTAGATGTTTCATCTTTGACCACAGGAGGGAGGGGTTGGAGGTATTTGGAGGGTGGTGATGCTTTTTGTTGTTGTTGTTGTTTTTGTGCCGTCGTTGTAGCTGGACCGTTTTCGCCCACCGGAGTCTCACCAGAGACACAGAGAGAGCATCGGTCACTCAAGGTGAGGAGAAGGTCTCGCCGACATGCACCGGGGGGGGGGGTCTCAGTTACGGCTGTCGCCACCGCCACCGCCGCCGCCGCCGCCGCTGCTATTTATTGATATAATTGTTGATGTTGTGGTCGTCACGGTGCTGTTGTCCCTCTACTGCAGCCGCCTTGGTGCGTTGGAAAACGCCGTCGCGAAACCCGACCATGCGTGCGGCATCACTCCAACCCCGTCCCCTGTGTGTCGCCCCCCTGGCTGCTGTTTTGGCGCGTGCCGCGGCAGCGCCTGACGTATCACCTGCTCGAGTCCCTGGCGAACTGCAAGTCGTGCGTGATCGTGGCCCTGCTGGCCAACGAGGGAGTGCCCGGAGGCCTTGAGCAGCTGGTGGAGATGTTCGAGGTCTTGCTCACGGGGGTTCGCCCCGAGCACAACGAGGTAAACAGCAGTCGTATTAATAGGCTCTCTGTAAGGCGGGTTATAGTATGGCGGGTGCCCGCTAAGGGCGGGTGATGTTGGCCGGCACAGATGAAGCATTGAAGACCGTGAATACATTGAATAGGGCGGGTGCCCTGCACAGGGCGGGCGATTCGGTCTGGCGCATATGGAGGGCCTACGACTGAACGCAAAACAATAGCATTAACAACACCACCTTGCTACTACTGCAGCAACTACAACACTTACAACTACAAGCAAAGCAGTAGCAACGCCAGCACCACTATTTTGACCCGTCAGGACAGGCAGTATTCTGCTTGTAGTGTTGTGAGACGTTCAACCGGACCTGGGTTTACATTTTTGTGAGGTTCTCGACGCTTTTTTGCCGTCGACGACGCTGGTTGGGTGCAAGTCTTGCGAATAGATCTGGATCGTGTTTTGATTCCGGGGGTGCTCCACATCATTGGCGTGTTTTTCTTGTGGAATCGGGAGGCATTGTTTGGACGAAGTTACCTCCAGCCAGGAATGGAAGGCGTTGAAGGAACGGTGCTGTTTGCTGGTGGCATCGAACACTCGAGGACTAGCATTGCTTGCCCGTGTTCACATACTATATTGCGTAGTGCATGATAGTGGTTCCGGTGCGGCGTTTTTCATTTAGACCAGTGTTTTTCGTTGTCCTGAGGCGAGGTGTTGAAGATGACAATGTCGCCGTCAGACGCGGCCCTGCTTGGCGGGGGGGGGGTGTTGACGACGGCAGAAGCAATAATCATTCAATGAAGTGCGGCTCACGATCTTCACACAAAAGAGGACGTTGGACTGCTACCCTATTCTGCTGCCCCTGCTGCCGTGTGGTAGACGAAGCACATGTTACCTAACAACACCGTGCCGGCCGCCGCGTTTTTTTCTGCAGGGGATCCAGGAGCTCATCCTGGAGACCCTCCAGCTGTGCATTGGCGAGCTCCATGCGATGCCCCAGCCCCTCCTGGACACGATTCTGATCCAGCTGCTGCCGGTGACGAAGAAGGAGAGCCCGACCAGCTACAACCTCGCGGCGGTGAGACAATGGCGGAGGGATTTCGTCGCGACATGGGGCGCTCGTTTTTGTGCTGCTTCCTGAATAGCGTTGTGTGTGGTACTGCCACCCACCCCTCCCGGCTCCTGCTGTTGCCGACCCTCCCCCATGTTGTTTTCCTTGTCACCCGCTTCCTAGCGCGACTGCTGTACGCCTGTATTTCAACCCCGGCCGCCGCCGCTACCACCGCCCTTTTTGTCATTGCACCGACCCGCCTCTTCTGCTGTTTGTTTGGATGGGTTCTTCGGCGAATGTTCCTATCCTCTCCGTGAACGATGTTCCTTTCGTGAGCGATGTCCCTTACGTCACCGACCAACCGACACACGCGTTGCTTTGACGCTCGATGCCTGACGACGACAGGAGCTGCTTAACGCTACTTTGGCGAAGGTGCAGACGCCCATCTCCCACTTGGTCAGCAGCATGCTTTCGGGGGCACGGGGTGAGCAGGAGTGTGGGGTGGGGGGGGGTGGGGGGTGGGGGGAGGGGTCGCTTGGTTCGCTTGTGGGGCTGGGCAGAGTACGAGAAGAGCGTGCCGAAAGGACTCGGAACAGTGATTCGCTTCGTTGGTCGTGTATTGCTGTGCGGCCTTGGCCTTGTTGTTGGCAAGCTCGTATCAGCAAGAGGAAAGGATCCCAGCCTGCTTTAGCTTGTACCGTAGCCGACCGCAGCGAGTTGAAACATGAACGTGCCCACGGCAACATTATGTTACCAAAACAGAACTGCTTGAACTATGCTTCGACTTGTGCTACACAACAACAACAACCTAGGACGAAACGAACAATCATCCACAACGACAACCAACCAAAACAACAACAACAACAACAACAACAACAACAACAACAACAGCAACAACAACAGCAACAACAACAGCAACAACAACAGCAACAATATTGGTATCCCGTGCCCCCCTAAACATAACAACCGCAGGCGGTGCGATTGAGTCCGAGCTGAAGGAGCACGTTATCCCCCTGGTGTTCGAGCTGCACAAGGTGACCCCCAACATGCTCACCTTCATCCTGCCCGAGGTGGCCGAACAGCTCAAGGCCGAAGACGTCGATGTGAGCTGATAACAGTAACAGTCACCTGCGGAGGAAGGGCAGGCGGGGGGGGGTCGTACTCATGTCTTCGCATGCCTTAGCTATTAGACCATCGGCCACAGGACGGAGCATCGTCCCCACAGGACCGATGGCCAATCGTTCCTTCCTACTTTGCCACGGGTGGGGTAGGATAGTTGGCACGACCGGGATGCATCGATATGCGGGCGCTGTCCGCCCTTTGGTTATAATAGCGCCAGCGATTTCGTCGAGCGGCGTTCTCGCCATCGACCTTTGGTTAGCGTTAGCGATTTCGTCACGGATGACTGGGGCCGGTGGCGAGGAGAGAGCGAGCGGGGGCATGCAGTCCAGTCCTCTACGCGCTCTCGTGGTATGTGTTGATCCGCATGATGGAAACGACGCACTGCACTCTTCCAGGGGGGGGGGCGTATCTCAGTAACCCTCGTACTGTACCAACAACACCAGGGGCCCCGTATCTCAGTAATCCCTATAACAATAACGATCCTTATCCTTGTATTGACAACAATTCTTCCTGTCGGGACGCGTGGCGGCCGATGATCCAAATGCCCAAGGCTTAGCACTGATATACGATATATCCCACCTTATACGCGTGCTATGTCTTACCCCCGCCCCACAGGTGCGCTCGGGCGCGTGCGCCCTGCTTGGGCGATTGTTCTCATCGCCGAGGGCCGAATACGGGGCGGAGAAGCCCGCCATCTGGGCGTCGTTCCTGGGGAGGTTCATCGACGCCGATGTCGGAGTGAGTGTTTATGTTTTGTTTGTTTGCCTTGACGGGACGAGTTTATGATTGTTGCTTGCTTGTTTCCCTTCACGGAGTGAGTTTTTTGTTGTTGTTTGTTCGTTTGCCTTCACGGAGTGAAATCTATATGTTTGTTCGTTTGCCTTAACGGAGTGAAATCTATTCTTGGTTGTTTATGTGTTTGCCTTTTTAACCCACGCGCGAGACGCATTACCTAGAATATGACGCAGAAATTCCGGTCGTTTGTGCCAGCGTCTCTGCGGCATATTTCATCCCTTGCCTTTTGATTCTCCTTTTTCCGGACACCCCCTGTCTAGCCGCCACCGCCGCCGCCACCCGGCTGTAACGTACCTACCGCGCGTTCTCTTCCGCGTGCCCCCCCTTGTCGCCACAAGATCCGAAGAACCATGGTTGACGCGGCTACCCTCATCATCCACCGCAAGCCGGCTCTGCGAAAGGACTTGTACTCGCCCATGAGCCTCCGGTTGCAAGACCCAGACCCGAATGTAAGAGAAGCAGGGGGGGGGGAGTGGGGGGTGTACTCACAGTCGTGCATGCCGTAGTCGTTTGACCATTGACCTCGCGTCCCTACAAAGCCGGGACGGAGCACGCCGGGTTTTCGTCGGACCAGGCAGAAGAGCCGGGATGGGTTCTCAGGGGGAAGGGGGGGGGGCGGAGGGGTTCTGGTTTCCCCCGTTGCCTCCCCTTGATGGAGGGGTTCTTGCCGGGCCCCCTCTTTTCGTTTTTCCTGTCCCCTATCCCCTATCCCCCGACGGGGAGCCTCATGATGATTTTTTTTATGTCCGCGGCGTATCTCTTTGCTGTGTGGTGGTGCGTGTCTTGTGACGTGTCACGTACCTTCAGTAGGAGAGCCTCGGTTGTGGATGTAGCGGAAGGGGGGAGCCATGTCGGGGGGGGGGCACGGTGCTTGCGCTTCTTGTCGTGCAGGGGGGGAGGGGGGGTAAGGGGTTGAATGGCGTGGTGTTGGGAGTTGCCCGTGGTTCGGCATCGTCGTTGCATGGGGTATTGAGAGGTATTACTGTAGGAGTGAGGGTGTCTGTGGTTGTATTGAAACCGTCTTGATGCGTTGCTGCTCCTGCTATTTAGATTGAACCCTCGGTTCATGGCGGCCGCTCTTTCTCGGCTTGGCACCGCCTCCGCCGCTGCGTCATGCGTAGCAAGGCTGCGTGCATACACACAAGTACCGTGGTTGCTCAAAAGTGGTCGTTGGTTCATGTCGCCTTAATGATGCCGCAAGGCCACCGTGGAAACACCGCCTCCAGCCATACACCATGCCGCGGGCGCCTCATTGCTCCGCGCGTGCGTGCAACGACCGCTCTCAGCCGTGGCGGCGGTCAGCGCTCGCGCGTTCGCTCGTTCATGGATCGATAACACAGACCACGGTCATTTGCCTCGTACGTTCCCTGTCCACCCGGATGCTCCTGGCACCTCCTCAGGTCCGCAGCGCGGCGGTGAAGGGCTTGATTGAGCTCGTCAACAAAGATCCCACGGTGCTGCCCAAGGCTCTCCTGGAGGCGATCGAGCTACGCATGAGGGACAAGAAGGTATTGTACGATGCCCTATGCGTTTTTCTCTCGTAGATTTGTGTTTTTGTTGTTCTTTGTTGTTGGCCCAGCCAGATGTATGCGGTCATGCTTCCAAGAATGCGTTTTTTTTTTTTTTTGGTAGTTTGTCCCAGATGTATGGGGTCGTGCTTGTAGAATGTGTTGGTTTTCTAGCACACACGATTTTTTGTTTGATACACAGCCCGTGGCACGCGCCTCTTCCGTATTTTTTGTTGGTTCTCGGGATAATTTGCCTCTGCTAGTTGCTCGCGGGTATCACAGCAACCCTCGCGAGCACACAAGCGGTGCTCATGGAGGTGTAAGATTTTCGTTGCCGTCCTTTGGTGTCACCACCCCATTTTATTTTTTCAAAATAAAAAGTACTTTGGGGCCTTTATGCATGACTGTTTTGGGTGGTGACCCCCCCGTCTCCTCCCCCTCTTCCTCCCCCTCCGCCTCCCCTTCGCCCCCGGATGAACGCCAGGACCTTATCCGGCAGTTCGCGTGCATCGGAATGTCGAAGGCGTTCAAGAGGCACATCGGAACCACCTGGCGGCCCAAGGGAGAATACGCCTACGGCGTAGGGGGCAAGGTCGAGAAGACCGGCGGTGGCGGTAGGGGCAAGAAGGCCAAGAGCAAGGCCAACAAAGACCCGGTAGGAACGGGACCCACCTTCACTGCAATTTACTATACTATACTGAATCCAAGTAATCCAAGAATCAGGATTCGCGCAGTGGTTTTGTTTGGGGGGGGGGGGGAGTTGTGAAAAATCCAAGTTTGGGAGCGACGGGGGGGGGGGGGGGGAACCCTTTTTTTGTTGGCGGAAACCTTTTAACCTTTGACCCCCCCCCCTTTTTAAAAGGGGGGGCCTTTTACCCCCCCCCCTTTTTAAAAAGGGGGGGGGGGGGGGGAAAAAAAAAAGGGGGGGGGGGGGGGGGGGAAACCCCAAAAAAAAAATTACCCCTTTTTTAAAAAAAAAAAAAAGGGGGGAATGTTGGGGCCCGGGGAAATCCCCCCCTTTTTACCGCCCCCCAATTTTTAAAAAAAAAGTTTTTGGGGGCAAAAAAACCAACTCCGGGTTTTTTTTCCCCTGAAACCCCAAAAAATCCTGGGAAATTTTTTTGGGGGCCCCC